CTTAAGGTAACAGTTTGACCATCTTGTTTATTCTTCTCATCATAAGAAAAGGAAGCCATGAGGTTTTAAGGGTCAAATCAAACACAGCACCTTGAACAAAATTAAGAAATAAATCTGTGCCAACAAAAGTTTTTTTCAAAACTGGCAAAATATGTTCTCCCAAAAATGTATGTATCATTTGTAATGGTAAAACAGGTAGGCAACCTTTTAGCTGCAAAGGATGCCTGCAGGCACTTCATGTAAATACACATGCACATACATTTTCTGGAAACAGTTAAGCTGAGAGTTGGTGAATGGCCCAGTCACCCACCGAGTTTCATACTCAAGAAGACACTTGAATCCAGGCTTACCCAGTCCAACACTCTATGCTCTATACCATGTCATTTTTCTTGCCCTTTCCACTCCATTCTGTCCTTCTGTACAACCATTTTAAATTACTTTCTCCTACCCCTACTCCAACTAGTACACTTACATAGAGCTCAGCTTGAAGTTTTTGCAGCTCCTGTCACACACACCAGCAGCACCATGTCCAACCAATTTATAGAACACTCAGACAGCAGGAATCATAGGGTTCGCTGACAGGAAAGAAAGTAAAGATGGCCATGGCAACTGATCACAGGAGGGGCAGAGTAGGAGATACTGGCGGTAGTGGTAGATTCAAGGGCCAGAGTTGTTAAAGAAGTGTGGATACAGTTCTATAAGCAGTTACAAGTCTTATAAACTGGCAAGGAAGAAGGAATAGCTATTTGTGGGGTGAACAATATACAGCTGAGTGCAGGAAATGCCTTTGAGGTTTACATGTTCTTAACCCCACCATTTAGAAAAACATGAATATGGATTAAGTATCCCTTAGTCACATGATTCAAAACATTCTTTACTCCTTTAGCAAAAGGTCTGCCAAGGCTTACCAACCCTGTTGCTTTCTTTAAAACAAGAGCGATTAAGCTTGCCACCAAGTATCAAAGCTTTAAATCAAAAACAAGATTTAAACAAGAGACAGAACTTATTCAGGCAAGTATTTAAAATGACAACCCTGCTCGCATCAATTATATACATGCTTGCCATTTTTTAGCCCCAACAAAGTTGATATGAAGGTTATTAATGGTATCAGACAATTGAATCCATATTAATTTACTTAAGATTAATAGCATCACCACTTCAGACCATCTGCTTAAAAATTAACAGTTATGTAGTTTTTCAATACTGGATTGATTCAATAGTGAACGGTTAAAGACTACATCTTACACATTATAGCAAAAGAAGCCCATTTTAGGATTTCAGAATGGGCAAACTGGACAGTATATGAACAGCACTATCTACCAAAGTGGCTTTGTCATCCTGTGATAAGTTGTATTTTTTGGATAAGAATTCAAGTGTGATTTAGGCTACAACCCTATACACATCCTATTTAACAGAATGGGATTTAGTTTCAAGTACATGTGCACAAAATATACATTTTATACATTTTAAGATGAAGTACTGCACAGTTTAGGACAATTCTGTAACTGAAACAGTGTCCTTCATTTAAAAGTTGGAGGTAAATAATGGCAAGCATGTATGAAAAGGATTTGAGTGGGACTGTCATTTTCAAATAATATGATTATTTATTAGTTAATTTCTATAATGCCCAATACCCAAAGCTCTCTGAGCAGTTTATAACTAATATTTCCCAAATTTTTCTCTTAAGCTCTATGACCGATGAAGGAGCAATCACCGGTTGTAGGGTAAAAGTGGAAGAGCATTAATTAAAGCAAAATGCTACAAGAAAGCTGCATATCATAACTGTCAGGGGCAGTGATCTGGTTCACATGGAATGACAACTCATCAGTTTAAAAATGGTTATCAGAAAGAAGTGAGAAAGAGCATGCGCTCTTCCACTTTTACCCTACAACCAATGACTGGCTCCTTTATAGTTCATAGAGTGTGATGTGCAAGCCCAGGCTACTGGGTTGCTTAGGAACTAAAAAATTCAGCAGTTAGTTTTTTAGTTCCTAAGCAGCTCATGATTTGTTGTTTGGTCAACAACTGGGTTGCTTAGTCCTACAGCATTCCAGGGATGTAGGTTTGCACATCACACTCCATGAACTATGAAGGAGCGAATCATGGGTAAAGCAGAGGAGATGGGTGTGCTACAGGCTCATGCATGAAAACTCAGCTGTTGTTAAACTAATGGGTAGTCATTATGTATGAACTGAGCCATTATACTTTCAATACCAACTACTGAAGAACATGACCATAGTGAGATTCCCACAGTCATCTGATTGACTACTATAGCTCTGAACTGGGGCACTCCAGACATTTTGACCTTTAGCTCCCATCATCTATGATCACTGGCTTTTCTGGCTACAGTTGACTGTTAACTAATGCCATAACCTTTGTTTTGTACTTTTTTGCTGGTTATTTTATTGTTATTTTTTAATGTGTTCTGGTATTCATTCTGTTTCTACAGTATTTTATCTTACGGTGTGAGCCGCCCAGAGGTGCTGTGGCACAATCAGGCAGCATATAAATGTTTTAAATAAATAAAAGAGGACATCAGACCTGGGAAAGCCAAGATAGATAGTTAACCTGATCCAGCACAGGTCTTCTATTTCTGTGTTCTCAACAAATGATTCTTCATTAAACCAGCATCTAGTTTCCATGCAGAACCAGGATCAGAACAACTGTGCCCTATGAAGTGACCGGTGGTGTCTACAGATAATATTTTCTACACCTAAAGGGTATCTTGTTGCCAGCCCAGCCTTAGGAAGTCTTTCCATGACCTGGTCATGGATTCTTGAGTTGTAGGGAAGAGGAATATTCCTTTCAGAATAAATTTGAAGCAACACAGGCTGCAAAACTGAGCACTGACTAAAAGAGGTGGAGACTTAGTAGTCAAGAGAAAGTTTCTAAAAACAGAGGATTTCAGTCAGTTGTGCTAAACACCAATTGCTCTAAAATTGTCCTTGCCATACATGCTGCTTGTTTAGGCCATGATACTCATACACTCCAATTCTATGAATGTTCAAATCCCAGAAACTTCAGTGCGAATTATTGTAACTTAAGTACGTTTAACAGTACAGCCTTTATTGCATATATTAGAAGATATAGCTAATATTGTAAGGTATTATCAGCAAATCATTTCTAAAACTTTATTCTGGAAAAAAAAACCTTTTAAAATTCTGTATGATTTACATATCAATGTGTATTCAATCTTTGTTTTTCTGTACAGATTTTGCCATACTACCACAATAAATTGGATTACTGAGTTATTAGAAAAGCACCAAGAATGCACACTTCATCCTTCTCATTATACAATTTTCAAAAGTCATTTTGTTCACACATCCATTTTAGCTGGAATTTTAAATTTGAACTGAGCATCTCTTCCTGCATAATAGCACCATTTGAGAAGCTCATAGGTAACTGTCAATTTTAAGCAACTGTTCTAATGCCAAAAAATGTTCAAATACTGTATGTCACAATAGCAAATATTAGTACAAAATAATATTTGACATGCTCAAGACAGTGTTTTCCCTGTTGTACTCATAATATTCACAACGTGTCTCAAACTGCTTTGTGAAGACAATGCAAAAATAAGATCTTCGATTACTGCTCATATTGCTCATTTATATGCAAGACCTGAAGCAACCTCCAATGTCAGACTAGTGTCCGATATCATTTTAGAGTTCTTCTTACAAACAATGTTTTCCCTTCCTCAAGTGTCTTATTAAGTATATTTTTGGTTCTTACCCAGTATCTACATAAAGCTAAGCTGCTTTTGTTTGCAATTTTATACATGATATACATTATTATGCTCTGCACAGTATAAGAATACTGCTCCTTGTTATTCTATTGTGATCCAGGCTTTCCTTTTCTAGTCTGCATTTTGGCTTAGCTATCTGATGTATATCTGATAAGGGGCTGCACTCAGAACACAATTAACATACAATGACAAGTTCTAAGTTAAGGCATACAAATCAGCTTTACCTAATCTAAGATTTAAATAGATATTAAATATTTAAAACAGGAATTTAACAGCTTCTTATAATGGTTTCTGAATATGTGTGTTGAAAGCTATGGCTCCCTCTAAAATTGGTTTCTTCCCTTCTCTATACCCTACTGTTACACTTATTATTTACATGCAAGTTCTTTATTATGTCAAATTAGTCTTTTTTCCCCCAACAAAATGGATTCGAGAGTGAAAACTAAAATAATTTTAAAATGGCAACAGACTAGATCCACCTATTGGCATTCAGCATCCCAAGTCCTATTATTAAACACTTTAGGAAGATATGCCTTGCAATATCTAACAACCATCAATATGTTGCTCTGAGGTTTTGCCATTTAAACTACTCAAACAAACCACACACTATGTCTATATCAAGGAAAGTGGGTGTAATACCTTCTCTTATGACCAGACATGTCTATTTTTTATGAAGAGACAATACTAATCTAAGGCTGTCAAACAGTAAAGGAAGCAGAATCTTGATGTCTGTTAGATTTAGAATGCTCTTCTTGTTTTAATTATTAAAAACATTCATGTATTTGCAGAAACGATTTCTGCACAGTACCTAAAATGAGCAGTCAGCTCCTTTAAAATAACATGGCTAGCTGCGTTAGGAAAGCAGGACTGAAAACAAACATTTTCTTGAGAAACTTGGCAAAGCAAAGAGACATGCTTGAATCGCAGCCAGACGGCACCTTGCACACGAGCAAGGCAAAACTTTAAACATGCACTTTAAAAATAATAAATAAATAAGCTGCAAGATTGCTTCCGTTTCAGACACTATCTCAACCGTCAAGGCTCTGTTCTCCCCACCCACCCCTTTGCCTTTACAGTTGTTACCCTGCTAACAAGCATGAAAACGGAAGCCAGCGTCGCTGCTCATTATCCCCAAATGCTCGCCATGGCCAAGACACACAACCCAAGTGGGCAAGAACATCAAGCATCTTCTCACCCAAGGCAGCCTCTCCCGCTCCTTCTTGGAGAAAGAGTGCAAAACACCACGTTTGAAACTTACCAAATCCGAGCGTAAGGGAAAGGCAAAGTGGGGTTTTTGGAGTTTCCTTAGGAATCCCTCGTCTCTATCCGCGTCCGAAATTTACCTGAAGTTAACCCGCTGCCCGCCTCTCATATCCCATTTTCACCCAGACTCAACAATAGATAAGGAGGCGGAGGAGGAAGCAGCAGCATGACACTGGTCTAACAGGCTAAAGAAACCTCTCTCCGAGAGCCAAAATTCCTCTTCCCATTCCTTCCAGGCATTCATGAGATACGCCCACCCAAAATGCACGTGAACGGGGCCGTAAGGTCCCAAGAAGTCTTCCCACGGACACACACACCCGGAGAGAACTCCAACTCCGACCAACACCGCCTCATGAAACCCTTCTTCGCCCAACACCGTGAACTCCTTAACTCGCCAAGAGAAGGAAATGTGCAGAGAGAGCCTTCTCAAGACAGAAATAGCAGAGCCTTCGGCAACCTCCCGCACTTTCTACCTGGCCAAGCATTCCCTGAGAGGCACCCTCAACAGCCCGCAACCCAAGGACGCCCCCCGGTGGAAGAGACGGAACTAGGCTCGCCTCCCAAACTCCCTGCCCTCGTCTCCTCTTGGGTGGGAGTCAACCGAATACCTCGTCCCCCTCTTTTCTTAAAGCCCTTTTTGTCTCCTCTCCTCTCCGCCGCCCCATGCGCGAACGCACTCACCGGGGAAAGGAGCCGAGCGCGCCTTCTGCCCGGGGTCTCTCTGCTCCCCACCTCACGCTCAGCTAGTAGCCGCCATTTTGATTGCTGACTGGATTTAAAATAGGAACTAGCCTCCTCAAAAGCAGCCGCCAGCTAGAGCCGGAGTCAGACCGGCAACCGCGTAGTCAGCTGGGATTTGTAGTTCACAAGCTTGCTTATGGCAGGTCTAACACGGGACATACTGCTCCTGTTACTCGAAAGCAGTATATGGCCGCACATTGTTTGAGCCCGCCCAACCCGCAAAGCCCTTCGGGAGTTGTAGTCTCGCTGCGCTAGTATCTAACACGCACACACTCGCTCTTTCCCAGCCCCCACAAACCCCAACACTTGACGAAAGTGTGTTAATTAGCACTAAACCATTGTGATCCCGGACCTCTCCAGAAATTAATCCGGTGGTCTTATATTTTGATGTTGAAATCTGCCTGAAGGCTCCAGAAACATGTTTGTTGAAATGAAAATGCATAATACTAATTATAATACCGAGTACGATGATTTTTTTAAATGCCCCTCCCAACGACAACAAAAGTTTAAAGTGGACGTCACAGAAGGAAATCAGCAGCTCTAATCTCTGGATAGAATTTGAGTACTCCAGATTTCAGACATTTACAAGTTTCCATGCACTTACTATAGCCACAGATGGGAAAAGAACTAAACGATACACAGCAACTCATTTTTGTTTCTTTTTGTGTTGTTTTATGAATGCCTTCCAAGACTCAACTCTTACTCATGACCATGTGCTGCACTGTAATGCTAATGGAAATCCCACTAACGAAAGTACACTGGTACAAAATCTGTGCCACCAATTGGGCTAGATCCTCATGGTTTTCACACAGAGTCCACCCAAAATTATACATTTATCATGCCTTACCAAATCTGCAGACTGCATCACAGAACTCAACAAAACCAACACTGAATGACAATACCTTACTGAAAAAAACATGGATCTGAGGCATGTGGTACATTGAGACAAAGGCTTCCCATAAAGTGCTAACAATCAGAAAAAATGGGCAGCTGTTCCTTGTTTTTTCCTTTAGCCAATATTCAGCATTAACAAATACAGAAGAAGTGGTGGCAAAGCACAGGAGGGTTACAAGTAGAAGATGATGATGCCTGAGCTGGCTTCCAAAAAAAAAAAAAAAAAGTGAATAAGGTGATGGTGTCATAAAAACCTTACCTAAGCAGCATACCCAGGTATTCATGGATTTCCCTTAATCCATTATAAACCACATCCAGCATTTTATGGCATCACAATGGTACAAGACCATACACATACAGCACAGGTTTTTATCATTTCTACTCTTCCACAGATTTCTATAGAAGAAATTACAGACTCATTCTTTCATGTCACTCCTGTGGTGCAAAAGCACAATCCAGGGCAAAGATTCCCATGGCTTTTACAAGAATGCATGCCAAATCTACCACTATATACATCTCTGTCTCATGTAAATACATATATTAAAAGTCTATAAGTAATATTATAAGAAATACATTGACATTAAATGATTATCTGTTTTGACCTTTCTGGATAAATGCTAAAAAATATCAATAGAAAATGACACCTATACTAGAATAAATTCCTTGTTTAAGAATCAGTTCATTAAATTAAGCATTACTTATAGATTCTCCCTTAGCACATCTCTACCATGCATTCAAAAGAGGGGGGAAAAAAGAACATCAAGAACACAATTCTGTATATCTTCACACAGAAAACACGAGCTGGGATACGCTAGCCGTTGTAGGACCTCCTTCTGTTGAAACATGGATAGGACTGCACCCCAAACAAGCAAAGGGCACCAGCAGGTTTGAAGGCCTCACCTACAAAAAAAGTTAAATCACGAGTGTGTGTGTGTGCGTGCCGGGGGGGGGGGGTCAAAACATATGACTTAAGGGAAGCTTGATAGACATTTCTAAAACTATAAAAAGGATAAGGAAAGGGACATTTTACTCCACCTGACATAACACAAGATTTCAGAGCTACCGATGGAATAAGATCAGCCAGAAGTTCAGGGCAGACAAAACAATGTATTTCTTCACACGATGCACTATTGAAAGATGTGATCATTATTAATTTAAATTGTATTTTTGGAGGATTTGACAAATTCATGGAAGTATTTCAAGCAACAGCCATTAGCTAAGATAGTTATATACTCCAAGAAAATATACTTCCGGATACAAGCCAAAGGAGAAGGCTGTCCTTTGTCTGTCCTGTTTGCTAACTTCCCTGATATAAGAGTATTGGCCTGTAACTATACTCCTGCAGGCAGGGGTCAGTGGTCGGCAGCCTTTGACACTCAAAGAGCCATTTGGGCCTGTTTCCCACAGAAAAGAAAACACCGGGAGCGGCAAAACCCTTTTGACATCTAAAATGAAGATAACACTGCATGTATCATTTTTTTTACCTTTATGCTATGTATAAAAAAAAACTATAGTGTTGCATTTATGAAATCAATGAACTGCTACAGAGAAAACAAATTTTTATTTCTGCAGGCAACAAAAACATTTTGAACTCCGAAAAAAAAAAGACGCTGGGTTGAAGGTTACTTTCAAATAAAATACTCAATGTCTATCTGAGTCCTCCTCGTATTTATGAAATAAAAAGCAGAACTTAAATTATCCACCTGCAGCAAACCAAGAATGCCGTCTGCTTCTGTGTGCCCTCATCCTTTTATCATGTGTACTGGAGGGTGCAGTCAGCTGTCAACCCGAATTAAAAAAAGGACTAACTGATACTTTCATACAGTAAGTAGAGTTTCTGCAATACAACAAATATAATAGTCTGGTGAAATATTGAACAAACATCCCTCTCCCAATGTAATAATGTTGCTGGAATTTTTATAAGAATCTTCTTAAAACAAGTAGATCTATATCTTCATTATGATTTAGCTGCAGCTCTTGTTCAGTCACTAAAAACTGTTATTTTTAATCTTACATTATAAACTAGTAGGACTCCTTTCATATATTTTGAATAGAAGAACAGCTTCCTGCAGAGTCAAAGTCAATGCTAAAGGGCTGCATGCATTAAACCGCAAACCCCGTAAGTTCATCAGCAGTAAAAGCAAATGAATCTACCCATGTACCATTAAACATTAGGTTTTCTTCAGAAACTTTTATTTTCTTCGATTTATCCATGGTTGGCCTACCAAGCGAAAAAGCTCCGTGAACTGGCACGGGTCACAGATCGGCAGCTGTGACACGTATTTTGAGTGACGGAGCCACAGCAGAGGGATTCAAGAGCCACGTGCGGCTCCGGAGCAGTGGGTTGCCAACCCCTGCCTGCAAGGTTTTCCTAATGTTGTATCCAATGATTTTTTAAATAAAAGTAATTTTCTCTTTTATTTTATTAGAACATTTATTTTAGAAAATTACTAGTCAGCTTTACAAATACTCAGTTTCTTGGATATATTTACACTGAGCACAAGATACCTTAAATGCCTTGTAAAACATTTGTCACAATCATTTGGTGTAACATGAATCTTATGACTTCAGGAGGAACTAGGTCCATGTATTATAAAACAGATTATAATGTGTGCTCTTAGAACACAAGACATGCAAATTCAGGAGGAACCACAAGGTTTCAGCTTTTTTTGATACTGCACTGCAAGCATTCACTAAAAGTTTTTTTAACATTGCAGTTATCCACATAACTCCTAATGCACCTCAGATGGCTCACACATTTCTAAGAAAGAAACTAAGCCACTGAATATCATAGGCTCTGAAATAAAAAGTTATCCAAGAATTGCAGAAGCCTCATAGGAGCAAATACCTCATGCACGCTTTCCACTTGCATTTTGGATCCACTTCTAAACAGCCCAGGAATATCCTGGGCTGAAGAACAAATTAACTAGAGTTTTAACCCAACAACAAACCATGAGTTGTTTTTCAACAAACTTGAGCTCCCAGTTTGGAGGTTGGATCAAACAACCCAAGAACAGGTCATTCCTGAGAGGCTGTAAGCAGATAAAAAGAAGCTGTAAGCATCTGAGTACCCACTTTATTCCTGCAGTCCACCAACAACATAGAGTTTAAACAACCCATGGGTTGGCATAACCTGCAAACACAGATTAGAGCCCAGTTTCTCCATGTGAGTTTTCAATCCACTGATCCAGATGTTAAAAGCGCAACTGCAATATTTTAATTAATTGACAAAGTTTATGTGCCTCCTATGAATTCAAGAGAGCAAACAAACCAAGTTCAATTATATATAAAACAACATTTTAAATCTAAATAAATAGGTGTTAGAAACATTCTTTCCTTTCCTTCTGAAGAGAAAAATATCCCAAGCATGCAAAGAGTTGTTTTTAAAACTTTATTGCAATAAAGGAATTGAAAAATGGTTTCCTTCCCATTTTGCAGCTCACCTGAGCACATGTTCATCCCATTTTATGCCTTGCCCCCGGCCACTTCTCCTTCCTCCTTCCCCCTCACTGGGGAGTTTACAA